CCGAAGAGTACAATCTGCCACTTTGCCTGGCATATGTGGACTATGAGAAAGCCTTTGATTCCGTCGAAATTTGGGCGGTGCTACAGTCCCTTCAGCGGTGCCAAGTTGACTGTCGGTACACCGAAGTGCTGAAGTGTTTGTACAGTAGGGCTACGATGGCTATCCGAGTACAGAACCAGAGTTCGAAACCTATCCAACTGCAGAGAGGTGTAAGACAGGGTGGGACGATATAGGGTGGTACATATTCTTATAACACCCATGGGACGATATAGGGTGGTACATATTCTTATAACACCCATGGGACGATATAGGGTAGTACATATTCTTATAACACCCATGGGATGATATAGGGTAGTACATATTCTTATAACACCCATGGGACGAAATAGGGTAGTACATATTCTTATAACACCCATGGGACGATGTAGGGTAGTACATATTCTTATAACACCCATGGGACGATGTAGGGTAGTACATATTCTTATAACACCCATGGGACGATATAGGGTAGTACATATTCTTATAACACCCATGGGACGATATAGGGTAGTACATATTCTTATAACACCCATGGGACGATATAGGGTGGTACATATTCTTTAAACACCCATGGGACGATATAGGGTAGTACATATTCTTATAACACCCATGGGACGATATCCGGTGGTAAATATTCTTATAACACTCATGGAACGATATAGGGTAGTACATATTCTTATAACACCCATGGGACGATATAGGTTAGTATATATTCTTGTAACACCCATGGGACGATATAGGGTAGTACATATTCTTATTACACCCATGGGACGATATAGGGTAGTACATATTCTTATAACACCCATGGGACGATATAGGGTGATACATATTCTTTAAACACCCATGGGACGATATAGGGTAGTATATATTTTTATAACACCCATGGGACGATATCCGGTGGTAAATATTCTTATAACACTCATGGAACGATATAGGGGAGTACTAATTCTTATAACACCCATGGGACTATATAGGTTAGTATATATTCTTGTAACACCCATGGGACGATATAGGGTAGTACATATTCTTATAACACCCATGGGACGATATAGGGTAGTATATATTCTTATAACACCCATAGGACGATATAGGGTGGTACATATTCTTATAACACCCACGGGACGATATAGGGTTGTACATATTCTTTCACTGCCTCTATCTGCCATTTGTGTCATTTTAATTCAGAATGTACAAAATCACAACAATTTCTGAAGAGGTAAGTCTACAGATAAATTTAAACAATTTTCCACAAAAGTGAGATCGTAAAGTTGTAATTTCGACCTACGACTTTTGAGAAATATATTTACAGTCAGGGACATATTCCTCGGAACTTCCTATTTAACATAATGTTAATTAAATATATATAGATACTTAATTAAGTGTATAACCTATTTATAGTTTATATAATATTTTGCTGGTGAAATAAAAACCGGGACATGAAGTACATATTGGCTGCTTCATTTATCATATAAATATTACTTTTAATCATTACAAACATTCAATAATTAAAAATTAGATACTTCATAGAAGTGTATTTTAACATCCAACTTAAATATGAAAGTAAACCTAATAATTTAAGTAAGGAAACTTGAAGGAATCAGTTAAATAAGATTATTCTGTTTAAAGACCAATAAATAACTGCAATTAATTTGCTTAAAGTAATCGTTTTGAAATGTTCTGCTGGTGAAATAAAAAATGGAGACAGCAGAGAGCATAATGGTTACGTTTTAAGTTAATTTTTTAAAGTCTTAATAAAACAATATTATACTCACTGGTGCTGGCTGTAGGAATGACTCCTTTTAATAAGGTTGTTTTTATTCAGCTTTTTCTGTTATACTTGTCACTGAAATGTTTGCTGCAAATTGTTAAATTCTTCTTTGGATTCCAAGCAACTCGTCCAATTAATGCTAATCATTATTTTTTCGAATTATAGAATTCAGAGCAAATCTTATGAGAAACGGCAAAATAAAGTTATGTTTTTGGAACGCAAATCGAGTATTTAATTTCAATGATTTTTTTATTGTGTGGGCATGGCAAGCCAACATATGTGGGCAAGAAGTCAATATCAATATATCAATTCCTTATAAACATTCAAGATAAATATCGACATAAATTTTGATATAGTTGAGTCGATCTCTAGCATACATGTAAAATATTTTGTTTAAAAATGAATTCACCAAAATCATAAAAGTAATCAACAACGTGACTCTTTTCTTTGCAAAATATCTTATATAATAAAATAATTGAAAACATTCTATATTTTAAACATTTTATAACACACATTTTAAAATAAACGCATCATAGAGGTAACGATCTTCTGCGAATTTACCAGTAAATGTGCAACTATCAGGATTATTTACGCTGTGTATTTTTGTATTATTTACACCACATTCACTCACAGAACATGTAACAATTTTACAAAAATTAAACCCCCTTATATTCTAAAAAATTAAAAAATATCCATGAGCTTATTTATTGCGTGCCGACCTGAGCCGACCGGTCATTCAAAATCGGTTACACAGTCATGGGATTTGCTATCCATTTCTCTCATCTCAAAAAGGAATTATATTGTCCCTTGCACACTATGGCCGTCTATATATTCAAAGTCTCTGATTATTACTTCTTTATGCTTGAAAGGGTAGCAAGCTCTTCAGCAGACTCGATGATAATATCACCTTAAGTAAAAGTCTGAAAAGCCATAAAAAATTAACTACTGCTTAGACAACAAAAATGATTAAAATTAATTACCTTAAGTATAAAGAATAAATTAAATAAAATTATTTTTACGGATACTATCGTATTTAATTTTAACTTCTTTATTCTCGATGTTTAAGGCACTTTTCAGCATCTGTTTCACGGGGAGGGGGGGGGGTCATTGTGGTGTTTGACGTGCCGATGTCATATTTAACGAAGTCTACCTTAAGCTTGATTTTTTTTTTATAGAAGAGGAGGCAACGAGTTTGCAGCTCGCCTGATGGAAAGTAACTACCGCCACCCAGGAATAACTGCAACACCAGGGGAATAACAGGTGGTCGGATAATGGCTTAGGCAACAAGGGGAGTGCCTTGAAACTGAGGAGATACGACATAGGGGTTCTTTTTAGCGGTAAACGCGCAAACTTGTGTTTTCTGAGGAATGAATTGGAATATATTTTACAGGAAAGGTGCATGAAGTACAAGTTACTAGTTGTATCAAACCATATGCTAAAGCGAAGTCATAAACGGATCTTCCCGCATGATCGGTTATACTTGAACCGAGCCATTCGGAGTGATGGGCATTAAAATCGCCAAGGATCACGATCTGTGCGGATAAGATCTGCTGTAGCAAGAAATCTGCAGCCATTTGGGCGTGGCCGATAAGTTGGTCTGTTTTGGCATCACTATAGAGGTACCCGTAGACGCGCGGATGTTCCTAGCTGTCTACGCGTAGCCAAGGGATGAACAGGTCCGAACCTTCAAAACTGCTGAAGTGTCCAGAAAAGATGTCCTTCTGACACGAAGAAGCACGAAGGAGTGTTTCAATTTATACCCGGAGTCGGAGAGATACGAAGTATCAACCGGAGAGGACATCTGCGTCATGGTCAGAAATTGGTAGTTTTACTGAGACTCATTTCAAGATTATCCATCCGGACAGCCTCTATACGAGTATATCAAAATAAAACAATGATACCAATATTATTACTTTTAGTACACGCATAATTTAGGGTGCTTCAGAAGTCTCAATTTAATTCAACTTTTCCTTTCATGATAAATTTCTGTCTTCACTTCTCAATTGTACTTATGTAAAGTTATACGAAATGCAGTTTCATAATATATAACAAATAAGTTTTACTGACATAACAAACATGTCTTTTATATGACAGTGTTGTCAACGGGAATACGATGGATACATACGTATGCACCTACTATGTAAATACTCTAAAGATGGATAGCGGCGCGCAAATACCAAGGATATGCAGATTAAAGTGTCTTCTTCTTATATTTTTTCCTTAATGACTTTCAATAACTATTACTTGAAATGACCTGTAATAGATTTTGAATAAAAATCATTATTTCTATTCCTATGTCATCATAGGAAAATAAATTGATAATAGAACATAATTTCCGTTTGCTTGAAGAGGAGAGGTAACTAAAACATTAATTGCATCTACTGTTTCAAACAAATGCAATGAATATGTCAAAATGCTATCAAATTAAGACCATCAATCATTGTAAGCGGCAAAGCCTGGTGAACAGAATCCATCAATCCACTGTCTTGTGAGTGTCGCTATAGGAAAAGCCAAAAAGATTTCATACCGATTAAGAGAAATGGTCCCTACAATGGTTACATTTGCACAGCTGGTCAAGCACGAATACGAGCTTGAAACCGAGTAAAGGAATTTGCTTGGTGGTTTGTGGTGTTTAAAAGTAAAAGTTAGCGTAGCACAGCTGGGTATAGAGCTCCTACAATTATCAAGAGGACTATAAAGCAACTACTACGCCGAGGTGCTCCAGTCCGTGTTGGCGTCTGTGGAGCTGGAGGACGGTGTCGCAATATTTATCGTCGCCGAGCACGTGGTAAATCAGCTTTTAAAGTTACATTAAAATTAGCATCAAATCCTAGTTGCTCGTCGCATTCTACGAAATTTACAACGGCTGCTAGATTTTTTTTTAATACAATAAGGGTAAAAAATTCACCTCACGGTAAGTTTGAAAGCTGTTGCCCATAGATATCTAAATCTATCCTCGATTAAGAATCTAAACGCAGATGCGTTGTCACCTCTGAGGATTGATTTCTCTCTACAGCAACGGTTCTCTATACTCATCATATGAAACACAGTTGCATTATTCTGTTTTTACACTGGTATTTTTTGAGAACGTCGCGCCTAGCCGAGCTGAGCTACCACTGTTAACTACACTTTTTAATTCTGGGTGTAAGATCCTGTAAAACGACTCGTTGATGATTGCTGGTGCTGTGTACAGGCCAGTGGGCAGTGACGGTAGCAGGGTCGTGCCCCGCTGCGTTGCCAGCCGACGTGGAGATGCGTCTGCGTTTCCCCGAGACACGAGCGTTTGCATCTCGCGAGCACGCCTCGCGCCACGCGCCGCCCCCGCCGCCGGGGTCGCGCCGCGCACCCCTCTCACCGCCGGCCCCCCGCTGCGCCGTATGTCGCTTACAATGACATGGCTTTGCGCTGCACTTGCACCTCCAACCACCTAGATAATCCTGCTTCAATGTATAGCTTCCCTGCATGACGTTAACTTAGTTACAGAAAAGAGGCCTAAATTAATGTACTTAATTAAGTCACGGATATGAAAATTATTCGTAGTATATTAAATTAATATGCTATTGCTATTTTAAAGAGAAATACAGGCATTTAATCCCTGCCACACCCTCCGAAATGCAACCTGTAGATGTAGAACATCGAGAGGGCTACTCAGCGCCTGCGCTCGAGACTTACTACATTGGTCTCAATCTAATTAAGTCACCAATAATTCTCTTAACACGGATCTTTACTGAGTACAACGCTGCTAGATAGCATTTTGCTGCATTTGCCTATATATGACAGTAATACTCAATACACGATAGAACTTGTGCTTTATATAGTGTCAGAACCAATAAATGAAACAACGTTTTTGCACCCTTGTAAGAACACCTAGTTTTCTTGCGGCTGCTTTGGCCCTGGACTCAACGAACCGTCCAAAGTTGATGTTTGTAAAAGTCTCAACCCTTTACGGAACAGAAAATACGCCTCGTAAAGTAAAAACCGTGGTAAGAAATTGTTTTGGGACAAAATGCTTGAACTATAATCGCATACCAGCGACACGAGATTACGATAAATTTTGCAAGATACCAGTAGAATACCAATTGAAAAAATTATCTCAACTAGTGTTACTCTAGGTACTAAAAATGAAGAAAATGTTAATGTCATTCGTAGCTAAATTATTCCAATGATGAAGATCATTCTTACTACAATCATGGTGCTTTTACTTTATACTTCTTGACTACGGAAAAATAGAAAATAGATGCTTCATGTCAAAATTGAATATTAAATGGTCCATAGCGCGAGGATCCTATTTTCAACGTGGGTATACTAAGCTTCAACTTTTTATTGATACTGGTGAGCTAACGTTAAAATAATGAAAAATAACCACTTAATTCGTAATATATTTGAATTATAAATTTTTCCTTAATTCATCCCAATTGCCTTTAGTCTAAGATTCTAAATAAAATTTGTTTCAAACTAGATCTCGTTTACTGTTTGGTTATTTAAAGGTTGCTAATTTTGTTATATTTCAACGTAGGTAATTCTCTATTTTAAAGCTTACTAATTATTAAGCCAGGCGAAATTAAAATTAGACGAATCAATTTATTTTCGAAAGAAATTTGAAATTTCGAAAGAATTGAAGTAATTGTTTTTGGAATATATATTTGGGATTTATAGGTCTGCTTTTCACTTGCACCACAGGGCTCTTTATTTTTATTATTATTTTATTCTTATTGATTGTCATGTGGAAATATTTGTTATTTTAAACAGTGGTCCATGTTTCAAGCAGGTGTGATTATTGCAGGTGAGGCACGGAGCGCGCACGCCTGATGAGACGGGCCGCTTCACTCTCACTCTGAAGAAAGAAGCGTCAGGTACGTAGCGTGACGTATAGTGTGCTGTGCACACACCTTCACCATCATTAACACAGTCTGTAAACCTTTTACAACGATTGACTTTAAAAATCTTTTAATGAATACTTTTAAATAATAAAATAGCATATATTTATCCCCCATATTTCAACCGATGTAACATTAAGACAATAAAAAAGAAGTCACTAAAACGCGAACTATGTATACCTACTCGTTATGATTATCTAAGTTTCATAGTTTTGAAAAAAATCCCCGCTCTGCTGAGCACGCCAAGCTTTTTAGAAGCCAATTTGGCCTTCTCTTCCAAATGACCACGAAACTGCACGTCACGCGATATGTCGACGCCGAGGATTCCGATACTGGCTGAGGCAACACGGGGAGTGCCTTGAAACTAAGGAGATACGACAAAGGGGTTCTTTTTAGCGGTTAACGCGCAAACTTGTGTCTTCTGAGGGTTAAACTGGACTAGGTTTAGTCGCCCACAATCCGAGACTTTGTTCAGCAAAGGCTCGACTTCAGACACAAGTTTTTTGATATCAATAATGCGTGAAAATTGGGCCCTATGTGAGTGAGCACTGTGACGTAACTTTTGGCGTTCCCCAGGGTAGCGCGCTTGGTCCAACCCTATTCTTAATATATATTAACAATCTATGTTGTATGAAAATCAGAATTGGACAGATATTTTCTTACGCGGATGACACAGCTGTTGTCTTTACGGGGCGGACTTGGGATGATGTACGTTCAGTAACAGAGAGAGGTCTTGCCGAGATAAGCAGTTGGTTAAATAATAATCTCTTAACTCTCAATACCACCAAAACTAATTACATAACTTTCTCAAATTATAATAATTCACAACCGGAAACAAATTTTGAAATCAAAATACACACATGTTCTGAATTTTCCAACCCTGATTGTACTTGTAACAAAATATCAAAAGTAGACAAAACAAAATATTTAGGAGTAATAATTGACCAGCGTCTATCCTGGCATGCACATCTTGAACTGATGATGACTAGGATGCGGAAACTTATATGGATTTTTAAAACTCTTAGATATATAACAGATAAGACCTTACTGGGTCAAATATATGTTTCATTAGCTCAATCCATTTTGACATACTGTATCCCAGTTTGGGGTGGGGCCACTAAAATGAAGTTCTTGGAACTAGAAAGAGTACAGAGATTATTATTTAAAGTGATGCACTTTAAGCCCTACAGATTCCCTACTAAAGAGCTATACACCCTATGTGACCACCTTTCGGTCAGGAAGCTGTATATCCTTAACTCTGTATTAAGATTGCACAGGACGCTGATATATAACCCCAAAATTTGTGTTAGAAGAAGAGGACATGCTGTGGCACCAGTAGTACCCATGAAAACGAAATTCGCTAGGAGGCAATTTAGAAGTCAGTCTGCTCATCTCTATAACTATACTAATAAAAAACTTAACATATATGCAACGACCAAGCATAATGTGAAAAAACAACTTACAGCGTGGTTAAAGACGATAGAGTATGAAGAAACTGAAAATTTATTGAAATAATTAGAAAAATTACACCATAGCATAAATACTTTCCACAACAGACGCACGCACGCACGCACGCACGCACGCACACACACACACACACACACACACACACACACACACACACACACACACACACGAGAGCGCGCTGCGCGCGACCGCACGCACTTGGTTTAATCTTTACATATGCGCAATTTTAATGTATCTAAAATTGTTATGGAAGAGCGGGGTCCCCTAACACAGGTATTGATATACTTAAAAGGAGACCCCAGCCTAGTTAATGTATTTAAATTTAAGATACTGAAGTATAAAAAAAAAATGTCAAAAACAGCAAAAAATTTTATTTTGTAAACTTTTTTAAAAGCTACTTAGAAGAAACAGAAAGAATAAATTAATTTCCGCATGAGTCGCAGTAGTTAGGTTGTACCAGTTCTGGCGCACTTGTAGAAAGGTTGTACCAGTTCTGGCACACTGAGTTAGAAGTGGTACAAGTACGACGTTCGTCGACTCACGATCCTAAAAAAAAAGGTAAGGTTTAAAACCTGATGAGATGAGCAGATCAATTAACTCTTATCTAATTGATATCCGCTACGAGCCTCAACCGTCATTAGCGCTCCATTGTCCTTATCTACTTATCTATTGTTGATTGACTACCGTCATTATCTATTATTCGTCAGCGTGTGGGTCGGCTTATGCTATTGTATTATACTCCTTTGTTCCTATCTACAACACTAATCTGAATCATCAATAAAACACATTACACATTTTTATTTATGAAATACAAAATCTTATTACTTATTATCTATAAAATAGGAGCGAAACATCTCATCCACTAAAATATCGTTGTACAATGTAGTTACTCTGTAAATATACTCGTAAAACTATGCATTGAACATCCCTGAAACTTATATAGCAAATACATTAAGCAATATTCGCCACAAACTGAAGTCCACTCATTCTGAATCCTATCAACATTCCAGTTCCATCTTTTAAACACATTACCTAATTTTGTTAAAATTTTTATTTATAAAATACGACCACGAACGAGGTCCATGTCATATCGGCGGCTGCCTTAATTAAAGATGTCTTGAGTGACTCGAAATTGGGATGAGGCTTTGAGCACGCCTTTTCCTCCAAGTGTTACCATATCTTGTAATCTAACGGATTCAAATCTGGACTGGTCTTTGTGTCGGATGAAGTCGATTTCACGCGCCGCCAGTCAGTCTTTTTTTTGTTTTTAAAGAACGTTACCTCCACACTAGGTTTTTCTCCTGTATCGTGGGGGCAGTTCACAAACACAAATTTCACAAGGACAAACATCCAAACTCGGAACAATTACTTGTAGGTCGTACAAATACTTGTTCCGTGCGGGATTCGAACCCGCGACCCCCAAGCGCAGCCACTCATTGCTAAGCCACTACGCCACGGAGCTGTCAAAAGTCTTGTGTGCTCTTCGCTCTATGAGCTGACGCCGAATCTTGTTGGAATACCCAGTGCCTGTTATTGAACATGGTATGAGAAACAGGTTACACAAGGTCCGTCAGGACTGTATTTTGATACACAACTGCATTCGTTTTTAACCTTTCTCACAAAAATGTACCTCTGTTGAGCCCCAATAAGAAACTCCCAACCATACCATGAGCGAGGATGGAAAATGACCTCGTTGGACACGCGGAATACGGTTGCTCGCTTCTTCACTACTGTGTGCGTACACCTTATCATTTTGTTTGTTGTAGCTCTCTTCTACGGTAAAAATTTTTTTATCCGAAAAAAGAATTTCCCGATAATTTTTTCCCGCGTACCGCTTCACCAAAGCGCGGCATCTCTTCAGTCTCAGATCCATTAGACGAGCATTCAAACGATGTCCTGTTTTTCTTCGATATGCCCGAAGCCCTAAGTCTTCATTTAACGCCGTGGTTCTGCTTAACCCCATCTGAAGGGCCAACAGTTTTTGCTACCGTTTGGGATTTCTTTGAATTCGCACCTTTACAGCTTTTATCACTGCTGGAGTCCTAACAAATCGAGGGCGACCACTTCTTGACCTGTCATCTACACTAGAGTCTTCATTGTATCGTTTGATGGTACGATAAACGAATCTTTTGGTTATATTCAAATTTTTCAGTATATCAAAAAATTTAATTGGCGCGTAATCGCAACTGCAACACGGTCTTTTTTAAGCGTCCACTCCATATGTAAAAATGAGTAAAATTCTAAAAAGTATACAGTTTTATTTTCATGAACAATTCGAATTCAATAAACTTTTTTGTGGCCAGCATTCTAAAAGAAAAGTTTTTACTGAGTGACAATACTTATGACCTGACTAGGTATATACGTTGGTACTTGGGTGCACATGGGCAGTCTGTTAGCAGCATAAACATTATTTTCTAGACTGGGGTGAATCTTTTTCAGATGTTGTTGTACATCTAGTGTATCCATGATATTACTGCTATTAGTAGATTACTACAGTACAATCTACTCAATGACTAACATAGGAATGATCAATTATGTGATTTCTAAATATTAAATTGCATTTTTTCTGTTATACAAAACGTATTTGAGTCATCAATACACTGAATAAGATGCAACACGAAGAATGTGAGATAAGGTTGTTGACGCATAAAGTTATTATCAATTCTACTGTAGAAATTCTTTAGATTAGAATTATTACTTACTGGTACTATATAAGACCAAGCAACTGCAGTCATGGAGTTAGTGTATGGTCGTTTGACCGCAGTGTATCTATCAATAATACATTTGCGTTACTTCAACGCATCAAAGGCCATAGATGTAAGTGTTTAATCTATTGACAAACTTACTTTTCTTTCTGTTATTTTTTTACGTGTGTATGATTTTGAACGACAGGCGTGTTGGTCTAGTGGTTAGTGACCCTGACTGTTATGCCGGAGGTCGTGGGTTCGATTCCCACCCAGGACAAATGTTTGTGTGATGAGCACGATCATTTGTTCTGTGTCTGGGTGTAATTTATCTATAATATTTATGTATTTAGAAATATATAAGTATGTTTATCAGTTGTCTAGTACCCATAACACAAGCTCTGCTTAGCTTGGGACTAGATGGCGTTGTGTGATAGTTGTGGAATATTATTATTATTATTATTTAGTGTTAACAAATTATATTTAAATATTGTGTGTGTATATGATTAAGCCGTGGTAGCTCAGATGGTTAGCGCAAGCTGTAAATTTTACAGTACGTAACGCGGGTTCGATCCCCGCCGACACCAATTAAATTGTTAATTGCAATTTTAAGTGTTTATTCTATTGACACACTTACTTTTCTTTTTATGTTATTTTCTTACGTGTGTATGATTTAGTGTTAACAAATTATATTTAAATATTGTGTGTGTATATGATTAAGCCGTGGTAGCTCAGATGGTTAGCGCAAGCTGTAAATTTTACAGTACGTAACGCGGGTTCGATCCCCGCCGACACCAATTAAATTGTTAATTGCAATTTTAAGTG